GGGGGGGGTGTTGTGTGAAATCCTTAATTCATCTAGTTCATTGGCGACCTCCAGCAATCTCAATACACTCAGCTAAGTTTTTAACGGAAGTTGGCAAATACATTTTCTTTATTTCGATAAAAACCCTGTTCAGTAAGCATCCGACCAACACCCAGTTTGTAGAGCCAGAGGTCCTATACGACTTAGTCCTATCAGAGAATACCTGAATACCTGTGGGGTGTCATCTCTGAACTCAGATTTTAACGTGTAATGACCCTCCAGCCTTCACGAGCGCGAGCTGCCGCTGCCCATTCTGCTATACCAAGGCCAGTCAATGTCTTAATGTTGTCCATCCATGTTACCCTTATTCTACCCCTGGCTCCTGCCCAACACCCTTCCTTCAAGCACCAGTTTCACAATGTTCTGGTGTCATTTTAAGTGTCCTATCCTATCAGACAGGGCTTTCTGAGTAACATTAAAGCATTGAAAACCGCATAAAATCTATACATTATTATCATCATCGCCATCATCATCATCATCATCATCATCATCATCATCATCATCATCATCATCATCATCATCATCATCATCATCATGGCGATCATGGTTCTCCATTCATTCCTTTGCTCGGGTGCTCTTAAAAAAGCTACATTACCCTTATCTTTCCCTGTTCCCCAAGTGTTTATGTTCTCGAAATTGGTTGCTCTGGGCCTACCCCTGCCGCGTTTTTCTTCAGTTTTGCCATAGAGAGTTAGATTTAGATGTTCCAGACCTTTATGTCTATTCGGGTGTCCCAAAAACTGCATTTGGGGGTCTTTTCCTATAGTTTTAAGAGTACCCAAAAAGCATTGGCTTTTCCCTCACCTGATAGCAAGCCGCGTCTGCTGCGTCCTGCCCCATTATCCGGACACTTCCTCTTCCGAGAGCGTCTCGCTTCCGCTGCGCGCTGAACATGCGCAGTTCGTGTCGCTCCTCTTCCGAGAGGGCGTGGCAGTAGCGCACCTCGTTGTCGTGCGGGGGCAGCTGCTGCAGGAGCTGGCGGATCCGGTTCTTCTCACCCACGCTGTTCAGGTAGGGCACGCGCTCCTCTGGCAGGCAGCTGAAGTACAGGTGTACCTGGAGGGTGGAAGACATTAAGATAAGATAAGATAATTTTTTTAGTTTTAGTTTTAGTAAGAGTTTTACGGCACTTGCAAAACAACAAAACAATAAGGTCATATAAGTGCCGAAGATTAGAGGTGTTACAAGAGAGGAACAAACACGAAAAAGAAAGAGAAGAGAAAAGGACGATAGATGTTTGATATGAAAGAAGAAGCAAACCACACCAGAGCACCCGCCAACCACCCACAAGATAAGACAAGATAAGATAAGATAAGATAAGATAGCAATTTCTTGATCTTCAAAAGTAAAAGATAAGATAAGATAAGATAAGATAACAATTTATTGATCTCCATAAGATAGCAATTTATTTATCTCTACAAGGATAAGATAAGATAATATCGACCTCCAAAAAGAGAAATTTAGATAAGGTGGCATAAGATAAGAAAACAATTTACTCATTTTCTCCAAGAGAATTTTGCTGCGCCATGCACGAACATATTCACACACAACCCTTTAGTTTTACCACGGTTTTACGTTACACCGTTATGTGTACGGGTATTTTTACGAGGGAGCAGCATGCTAGCTTGTTCTGGACCTTTGATGGACAAAGGTGCACATACCTCCATAATAAGGAGAGAGAGGGGGGAGCAGAGAGAGAGAGAGAGAGAGAGAGAGAGAGAGAGAGAGACAGAGAGAGAGAGAGAGAGAGAGAGAGAGGGCTTGACGGCAG